GTGTGTGTGTGTGTGTGTGTGTGTGTGTGTGTGTGTGTGTGTGTGTGCGTGTGTGTGTGCGTGTGTTGCTAAGCTGCAGCATTAATGGATCGACTGATGACCAGATCACATGCTGGACGTGTCTGCATGCATCCTTATGCCCTTTAATGTCTCCTTCCTATTTCATTCCTCTCCTACGGTGTCAAAGTACAAGAACGATGATGAGAACAGACGTTGGTAGAAAATATTCTGGACACACAAAAAGCTAATTAGCAATTAAGCGTAAGAAAAAATCTCTCGAGGCGATCAGGAAGCTCCGCTGAGGTTTGCCGAGCTGCTTAAAGATCTTCCCAAATCCGAATGAAGGAAGGAGCCGTTTGTTTTAAAGCTCTGATCTTCCCGCTCAGAGGAACAGAAGGACTTGGTTCTGTTTGCTTTCAGAAAGTTGAAGTTCACGTCCACCTCAGCTAACACGAGCAGGAAGGGCGACCTTCTGTCTCCAGGTTCTCGGGAGAAGATACCTCCCAGAGCGGTGAAGTAAAGCAGCTTTGCCGTTGGCCGGTTCTCGTCTTGTCGGTTCTTCTCAGGTGGAGGTGATTTGCCACCGCGATCGTTTCCTCGCTCTGTGGGCGAGATCGTAACTTCAATTATTTTAGCCTTTTTGTTTTAGTTTATCCCGGCACGGCTTGAAGGTTCAGGTGTCGCCATGCTGCGACGTCATCTTCGACGTCTCGCGGTAAATTCGCTCGTTTCTTGTAGCGCCGTCCAACTCGTGCTGAATCCTCTGATCCATCAATAAAGACAGAACGGTCTGGACCTCATCGTTGGTCCACGGCACTGTTTGGAGCTTCCACACTCGAGAAGAAACTAGAAAACCAAACTCACTGACCCCCCCACTCTCCAACGATCAGAGAGGATGTGGAGGTTCACATGTAGTTTGCAGTTTTGTTGGGCGGGTCATCCGGTGCCGTAGCTCCGCTGGTCAATCAGCGGCTGCTGTATGTTTACGTCAAAACCATCATCTCTGAGCAGTTCGCTTTGAACAAGGTGGTCCCAACAACCGGGCTGAGTGGGGGTGGGTACCAGCGGTGGGCTGGCCCTTAACTGGTGGCAAAGCACCAATAGAGGGTCCTACTGGAGAAGAACCCAGAGACAAACATGCAGGTCTCAGCTTCAGCTGAAACGTTCAGCTGATTCACCGTGGTCATCCTGCGGCACGGAGAGGGGACTCAGAAACACTGTCCACCTGTCCGTCCAATCAGTCTGTCTTGTGAGCACAACTTGAAGAATAAATGAGGTGTGCAGCTGCATGTAGGCAGGAAAAAGATCACTATGGAAACTTGGGTTGCCATGTAAAAATCCAAGATGGCCACTGCCATGCATGTTTTTATTTGTAAACAGGCCACACCTATCTTATGAGGAAACTGTGCGTTCTAACGTTTTTATTTCTTAAAAGTGTAGTTTCCTCAGATGGCTGATGGGGTGGCCAAAGATTCATCTATGGTGGGCTAGGCCACCATTTGCCACCCCCAGGCTCCGTCATTGCCTGGGACAAAACAAAAACAAAAATCCCTCTGTTCTGTACAGTGTAACTCCTGCTCACTTGAATATCTTCACCAAAATCTAAAGGTTTACCTGCAACCTCTGGTCAGCCGAGAAAAACACTCGTTTCAAAAACTACAAACATTCACTATTCATCGGAGCGTCGCTTGTTTGTTTCAAACTCTGTATGCAAAGACTTTAAACTGTTGAGCTTAGATTTGTCTGCATAAAACAGCCCGAGGAAGTTCCTGATTCCCAGTAATCACCTGATCTATTAAGAGCAGCAGATTTAGTGGATCATGGTCGGAGTATCTGTGGAATCTGACTCATCTGACACTAGAAACCAGAGAACGACTCAAAACTGTTGCAGTCTCTGGATTCTGAGTTTTTGCCACCGGAGAAGCATGCGGCCTCGTTCTGAGCAGTTTTAGAAAATACTGACCTTTTCTGCTGGGCTCACCGTGCACACGCATTTATGATTTAAACTTTGAGAGTTCACTTTTTTCAACCATGAATGAACGGCAGATTAACTTTGTGATAATTATTCTTTTATTGTTGTGATTTTTAGACCGGGACATTTGTGATTGTAGCCTCGAATGTTTTCTATCAGAAGAGCTCCCTGGCTGGTTTCAAAACACAGCTCAACCTTTTTAGAGTTACAGAAACTAAGTTAAGATTGGTTTGAGAGGATTTTAAGTCAAACACAACACCTCTGGGGCTTTTCTTTACTTTTAGAAAATGTGTTCAAAATCATAATGACGTGCTGTAGATGTAGCCTCTGTGGCTCACAGAAAAACTGAGAAGCTGTCAGAGAATTTTTGGTCAAAGGTTACGGATATTTTTATTACTATGGCTGAAAACAAGAAGCTCAAGACATAATCGAAACCGTCTCCCAAGACACTGTCTGATGCCCATGAACCATATGTTTGGGTTAATGGAGAGCGTGCAGCTCCTCCTGAGCTCTGTGAACTCGGCTGAACTGATAAGGGTATAAAAGCGAGCGGACAACGCAGCTCAGGCAGATTCTTGTGACTGGTCTTCATGTGAGTACATTTTATGTATATTTATAAAACCTGTCCTGACAGGACATCCTTGTAAAGGATTTCTTCCTGGTAAAATAAAGGTGTATATATATATTTTTAAAAAAGCTGGTCTTGCAATTAAAATGTCAATTAAAAATCGTCTCCTGCCATCGAGTGTGGCTCTTTTAGCGTAAACAACGTAAGCTAGAGATTTTTTCTCCAACAGAAGCGAAGTCTCGCAAATGTTTCGAGACATTTTGAAGACTCTGTCGAACGCTGTTGACCGTCAAGTCCCAAACAATCCAAACCAGTGAGATACAGTAGTCCCTCACTACTTTGCGGTTCG